CTCCAGAGAAGTCTACTATATATGGTGATGAAGATCAAGAAACCTAGCCAAGGTCGCCAAAAGATTGCCATTGCCAAAATACCAAAGAGAAATAATTTACAAGTCACATTCTCTAAACGTCGTTCAGGGCTCTTCAAGAAGGCCAGTGAACTATGCACGCTTTGTGGGGTTGAGATTGTAATCATAGTCTTCTCTCCTGCCAACAAGCCCTTCTCATTTGGCCACCCCGAGGTTGATTCCATCGTCGACTGCTTCGCAGCTCGAAAACCCTTACCCTAATTTCCAAGCAGGATCAACAGGTTCACTCAACAGCTTGTTGAGGCTCACAGGAATGCTAATGTCCAGGAGCTTAACATGCATGCAGCTCACCCAGGTTGTGAACCAGTTGGAGGCTGAGAAAAAATGTGAGAAGCACTTGATAAAATAAGCAAAGCTACTGAAAAACAGTGTTGGTGGGAAAGGCTTGTGGACGAACTAGCGTTTCATGAGCTTCAGATATTGAATGCTTCAATGGAGGAGCTCAAGAAAAATGTGACAAAACAAGCCAATTGGATTTTGATGGAGTCTAGTGCTGCTGCTGCTGCTGCTAATTGTTCATCATCATCACCATTTTTTCAGAAGGAACAATGGTGTTGTTCAACGTGATGATCTTCGTTGTTTCGAAAGCAAAATTAAACCGACAGTTCAAATTGATATGCATATAGTTTTGGTTATGCTGGGCATGGTCCTTTCTGAGTTTTTAATGTTCTTTAATTTCTTTTGAAGGGGAGTTACAAGCTAAGGTAGCACCTCGCTATGATTATCATTATATTACTTTGTTCATCTCTCTTTCTATTACAAGCTAATGGATTTTCTTTATTATTGTTTATCTAAATATTGATTGTCATTGAATCCCTTAATTAATTAATGAAAAGGAAACAATTTTGTTACAGTTTAGTAAGCGCATGATCGATGCACACACTTATCAGTGGCTAAAAGGCTTGTCCCCAATGTCAGCGACTAATTTTCTTGTTGTAGGGAATGCGAATGAATCAATATAAAGAGGTTAATTAAAGGTGAATATTAATACCTGCAGGGTTTCACCAATCATTTAAATGGCATCGTTATTGTAATTAACTCTTTTATAAACTGAATTAATTAGTTATCTAAGTACTCTTACAGCCACGCAGGTTTGTTCCTCTTGTGTCAGGTTTTTTTTGAGATATAGTACGGTATTCATTGAATAGAGAAATACGTACATAATCGAGGATAGGGTGCTAACAGTGGGCCTCAATAAAAACCTTGTCGGGGCTTTCAACCCGATCGAAGGCAAAAAAAGTGTCTCGCACCAATTAACTATTAAGACTATCCTCTGATAATAAATCATTAATAACATCAGGAGGTTCTTCAAACCAAGAAAGTGGATGATCAAGCGTAATACTTAACCGTGCAAGTCGATGTGCCACTTTATTCGTCTCTCTAGGTCCGAAAGAAATCTTCCATGCTTAAACCCCTGAAGGATCTGCTGTGTATCCGCAAAGAGATAAACAAGGTGACCATGCAATGCTGTTCCAGCATTCTGAATAGCAGCTACCACCAATAGAGCATCACCTTCCATCTGTACCTGTTCCTCACTCCATCTCTGCGCAAACACAGTTGCTGCCCGTGCAGCAGCAGCTTCTGCATGCATTGCTGAACCAATCCCATACTCCCGACTCACCATTGCAGCCATGAAACCTCCTGTGGCATTTCGAACGACAACCCCAATACCCCCATATGAACCATTCTTCTCCTAAGCAGCATCTAAGTTACACTTTAGCCAACCAGAGTTCGGGTGTTTCCATTTCTGAACACGAACCGTTGCTTCGGGTGGTTGAACCTCATTCCATTTCTTAAATTCTGACAGCCACGTTTGAGCTTTAAGTTGGACATCCAGGGGGGATGCATCAACACCATTCCATAAAAGCTCGTTGCGTACCTTCCATACACTCCACACTAACACGAGAATAAACTCAAAACTGTCCTTAGTTGCTATTTTTGCCATATTGGTCAACCACCCACCGAAACCTTCTTCTACCCTATAAAACGTACGAATTCTCAAAGGGCTACCAAACCAAATAGCAGCTGATCGTGGGCACTGTAACAAAGCATGCTCAACTGTCTCTGCCGCTTTATTGCAGAACCCACAAATTAACTTACTGGGTCTATCGGACAACAATTACAAGAAAAGGAAATATTTTTTCGGAAAAATTAGTATCCGGTCCCTAGTTCTTACTGTTAATTGACTAAGATCTTATTAGTTCTCAAATTTTGATTCAAGTCCCTATCATTAATGTGATAATGAATTTACATGTTTATTATATAATTTTTAATACAAAAATTAGTAATTAAATTAGGGTTTAATACTCACACCTCTATTAAACTTCTAATTAATTTTCAATTCAAACATTTCCAAAATAATAAAAAATTAAATTAAATTAAGTTTGTACCTATTAGTTTTTTTTTATATATAAAAAGATTCTCAATTTTTTTTAATCTTAAATGTACCCATTCATATAATTTTTCAATTTTTTTAATCTTAAATGTACCCATTCTCAAATATATCAATTTGTTATATGTAAAATGTACCCTTTTTTTAATATAAAATCCATTCAAAATTTTTAATCCATGTTTAAACTTATATGGGTACATTTTTTTTCGTTGATTTGAGAATGTATCCATGTTTTGGTACAATAACTTTTTTTGTTAATTTTGGTTAATGTACCCATACATATATGTATACACACACACAATATAATAGAGAGTATAATTTATATTTTATTATTTTTAATCCCATAAATTATGGGTTTTATTTAAAATCTCATTAATATAAACAATTACAAATTTCAATTTTTAATTTTTAATTTAAAAATATAGTAACTTACATTATTACAGGGACCTCAATCAAAAACTAAAAACTAACAAGGTTTCAATCAAAGAATATTGATAGCTAGGTACCGCGCATCCAAAGTGTCCCTTTTTTTTCTCACTACTCTTAAATTGTGTTGATTGCCATTAGATGAGATCACAAATTTGTGTAGTTGATAAATTAAATAACACTCATTTAACTGCAATCAATATGGTGATGATGCTTACCACGACTTTAGGGTTGGAAGTGTATATGCCTAGTAACTTGTTGATGTGCATTATGATCCTTGTTCATGAGAGGGAAAATACCCTAAACCCTTGCTGCTAATTACTAGCTAGAGAGCAATACATGAAAAAAACCCTCAACGGACGATCTTGGCTTTGGGATCCGCGGCACCGGCCCTATTGTCTCTTCCCTCTCTCTCCCTCCTTGTTTCTCTTATCTCCTTGCTTGGATTTCTATCCTATGGTTGTGGTCGCTTTGGCAAGAAGTATTCATGCTTGTGGTCGCTCTCTCGCTTTGTAAAAGAGAATCTTTGTAGTGTATATGACTCACATATCAAACTCATAGTTTTGAACGGCGGTTCTTGTTCATAATTGAGGTGGTCATTTTCATTTTTCTTTTGGTTTAAGCAATGGCAAAAGACTATGCTCATGAAGCTCGGCACTTGTTGAAGATAACTTGTAACAATATTTTTGCACTAACGATTGCAAGATCATCACGGGATAGTGTGCTCTTTTCCTCATGATGCCTTACAAAGGTTCTACAACTTACAAGGTTCAACCCTCGTGAGTGTTATCTTTCATAATAGTTAATGTATTAGTAAATGATGCTTTGGAATCATAAGGTAATTTTGAACCACGATGTCCTACTCTATGCCCAAATTATAGTGCTTTCTCATCCCACTATTGTTTTAAGAGTTATCATCTCTCACATGATCTTACAACACTAAATGTATTTACGTCTATGGATCCTTCATCTTTTTCAACTTTGTTCATTTTAGATGTTTGCTTGCAGATACCCTCCCCTTGGGGTCATGTTATTTATATGTATGACTTGTATTTTCCTTTTTCATGAAAAAGATATTCGTTCACTAAAATAATAATATATTATATAGTTGATAATTCTATAGAGTGATGCTATTTGGATCCACAAAATTGATACTCTCTAATACAGGTCTCATGCAATGGTATGGTCTATCTCTATTAGAGAATGACAACAAAACGTGCTAATTTTGTGTGTATAAATAATTTTATTGATTTTATATCAAGATGATAAACAAAGCATCTCCCCACTTCCCTAATAAATCTTCACAATTAATCAAGGGGGTGTGCTATCCACAAACTCTCTTTTACTTCTCATCCCTTGTTAATTTATGTCCTTTGATCTTCTTTAATTCATTCAATTCAACAACTGCAAATTAAAAAGGTGTGTGGAGTAAAAAATATGTGTGTATAGCACACCCCTTAATCAAGTATAAATTCATCGAAATTATCCAAATATTGTTCCATTGTATCGAGATAATGTATTCAAATTCCAAATAAAACGATTTTTTTTTATATTTTCCCGATGTTCCTATACCTAGCCTTTTTCTTTAGTAAAACACTAGTTTTTTGTTTATAAAAAAAAATAAAAAAGAAGTTGTTATTAGCACTATTCATCATACACTAGCAATTGAGCCCGCACGATGCCACAGGTTTTAAAACGGTGTTAAATATATTTAACTCTATTTACATGCATATCAAAATTTATTTACATATTTATGTTCAATAAGAAACAAAAGATCGTATTTGTATAATATCACATAGCTATTCATACAGATATAACACAATGGGGTTATGGTGAGAGATTAGATGTCAAATGAATTCATTGTGATGCTTATCAAACATCCTTCACTACAAATTCTTCTTAGTAAAGAACCCTATGAGAAAGTAATATTAATGTCCCAAATCTTTGTGAAAAACCATAAAAAGGTCACTTCCAAGTACAGGTTTTCCAAATACCCGATATGAAAAAGTGATTCTGTCCCAAAACTTCGTAAAAACTATAATAAGACCTCTTCCAAGGACATAAACTATACCACTCACAATTGCTATAATGCTTCCAGATTCAATTATCCAGAGACCAAATATTGAGAACTTTCGAATTATAAGCTCATTGGACATAATTTCCCAACTATAGGCATGGGGAGATTTGAAATCGCACGGAAATGAAAACAGAAGCAAAAGAAAAAGCAAAAGCAAAAGCAGGAGAGTCCACTCACCCTAGGTGAATATGCTAGTCTACGTTTCCAAAAATTAGTCTGTAACAACTGCTATATCCTTTCCAACTTTGTGCAAAAAAAATTATGTTTCTACTGTTTACTTGAAGTGCTGATTTCAAATCGGTGATCCCTTTCGCACCCTGGTAACATTTAACAATTGCAATCAGTAAAATTTTATTGATAAGGGAAACGAGAAGGGTAAGTAATAAGCAAAGTAGACAGACGTAACAGACCAACGCAGAGAGAGAGAGAGAGAGAGAGAGAGAGAGAGAGAGAGACTTAATGGTTTTATATGAAACTTGAGTTCCTTTAACTCTTAGCCTTCTAATAGTTGCAAGCAAAATTGAGGTTCACACGCTATGAACGTGGTATTGAGGTTTCATATAGAAAAGGTCAGTTGTTTATTATTTTCCATACTATTATTGAATTTTGAAAGTCTGAATAGTCGGGTTTTCTAGTTGCTTCATTAGATTTTTTTTATTTAAGGTGCAGGAAAGACAAACCACAAATCTTAATTACCAAGGACTAAAATACGCATAAAAGCATTATGTTTTTTCTATTTATGAGATGGATAAACAGATAGAAGAAAATAATGAGCAACATTTATGGAAAAATAAAAAATCTTCAAATACATCTCATTCAACCCATGCAGTATTAAAAAAAAAAAAAAAAAAAAAACTCCTAAGTAAATCCAAGTTGATAAACTGATGGGTTTTAGGAAGAAGATTAATGCCAAACATATACAAAGCTCTAGTAAAAAAAAGCACAAATTGTTTGATTTCCTTAAACATACCTGGCCTTTACAATTTTCTTCTTCAGTTATTTGTCCTTCTTGTGATTGTTAACTACAATATCAACATTGACAAAGGAGAATTAATTATGAAGAAAATTTGATATAGAATCAAAGATATTGAGAAAAGAAAAAAAAGCAAGACCTTTGAACTTGTTTCTAATTTCCTCATACATATATGAACAAAAAAAAGAAAAGATGAGTACAACTACATCTATAATCCAATCAAGTAATAAATCCACATCAAGAATATGTATAACTGTTGTTGAGTGTCATTGTAATACCTTTCCCTTGATTTAAGGGAGTAGACTTGCATAAGTTAAGTTTAGATAGGTTGGCAGATAGGTTGGCAGCTTTATTCCTTATTTTTTTATTTTCTTGTTGGCTGCTTGCAGCAGCTTTATTTTCCACTTTCTTCCTACTACTTTCTCCCCATTTCCTGATTTCTTGTCGGCTGCATATAGCAGCTTTCCCTCCCTTTTCTCATATATATCCAGACTCCCTCTTGTACCAATACACATGAAATACATATGAAAACTTTAAACCAGAAATTCTACATGGTATTAGAGCAGGTTTTGTAACCTGTCTCTGGCCATTCTTCCCGCTGCATCTTTCTTTCAATCGTAAGCCATGGTTGAAGAAGATTCAATAAACATTGAGGGTGACATCTCGCATGCCTCTCCTTCAAATTTCTCAGACGTCGAGGTTAACACCAATCAACGTTTGTGTTCAGTTCTCTTGAATGAGTTTAATTATCTCCCTTGGTCTCGAGCTGTGTCACTAGCTCTCGGAGGCAAAGGGAAATTAGGATTTGTAAATGGAAGTGTGGAAGCTCCAGACATCTCCTCCCCTTCATACGATGCATGGCTTTGCAAGGATCAACTTGTCATGTCTTTGCTGCTCAACACCATGGAGAAACATGTTGCTGAGATTTTTAGCTACTACAATTCTTCATGTGAGCTTTGGAAAGCATTGCAAGATATGTATGGGAAATCAAAACAACTATGCACGTGTCTTTCAACTTAAGAAGGACATAGCCAGTGCCCAACAAGAAGGGAAAGCATTTGTTCAACATCTTGGAAGCCTCAAAGCCATGTGGAATGAGTTGGATGTATACCTTCCACATACCACAGATCCTATCATTCTCCTTAAACGAGCTGAGGAAGACAAAATCTACCAACTGTTGGGGAGTTTGAACTCCGAGTACGAGGATCTAAGGAGTCACATCTTGATGAGTCAGGAGCTTCCCACGTTCAACAATGTCTGTGCAACTATCCAACGAGAAGAAGCAAGAAAGAAAGTGATGAATGCTGAGCACAACTCGAGATTGATTGAGACTCGTGCATATGCCTCAAACTACAAGACCTCAGAGGCAAAAGTGTACAAGGGTAAAAATACACACTTGAAATGCAAATATTGCAATGACGTTGGTCATGTGGAAGACAAGTGTTGGGAACTTCATCCTGAACTCAAGCCTAAGTTCAGCAAAGATGGAAAAATGATACCAAGGTCCTCACAGCCATTTCAACCTCACTACAAGGCTCAACTTGCCAATGCTCATCCCTCTACTATCTCACAAGGATCCATGGAGTTCACTACCAACCCATTGTCACTTATCAATGAGTTTGCAGCTTACCTTCAAAGTAAGGAACACGAAGGAGGTTCACAAGCTCGAGGCAATGAAAAGAGCAGTCATACAGCCATGTTGGGACAGTTTGCTGGCTTTCTTGCTGGAAATGAGAAAGTCCCAAAGGATGAAGCACCAGGTATACTCAAAGCTTTCACTACTGCCCTATTAACTAGTACTGAAAATGATTGTTGGGTAATTGATTCAGGAGCCACAGATCATATGACAAACAAAGTCACAAATTTGAATCATTTTAAACGTTTTTTAAGTCCCTCACATGTGTCTATTGCAAATGGAAAAAATGTCTTAGTTTTGGGAAAAGGAGAAATAAACTTACTCTCACACAAAACACCTTCCACTGCCTTATATTGTACCAACCTTTCCTTTCCAACTTCTGTCAATTGGAAAGATCACAAACACCCTAAATTGCCGTGCCATTTTCTCACCAGATAATGTGATGTTTCAGGATGTTCTCACCATGAAGATGATTGGTGAAGGGGTCTTTATAAATGGACTTTACTACCTGTGCAAGAATACCTGTTTTACTCAGGCCCTTTAAGCTCAATCAAAGTCCGTAGATGAAAACCAACTTTGGCATAAGAGATTAGCTCATCCCTCTGAAGTTATCTTGTCTAAATTATTTCCAAATTTTTTGTAAAAATCATGTTACTTGTGATACTTGTCAAACTTTCTAAGTTTACTAGACTACCTTTTGGTAATTCAATGTCTAGGACAAGTAAACTCTTTGAAATGGTGCACACCGATGTATGGGGACCAACAACTGAATCAATAGAAGGGTTCAAGTACTTTGTTCTATTTATCGATGACTTCTCTCGAATGAGTTTTGTGTACCTTATGAAATCAAAGAGTGAAGTTCAAACTATTTTCAAAGATTTTCATATGCATGTTAAGACACAATTTCAATCAGACATTAAGGTGTTAAGATCTGATAATGGCACTGAATTTCTATCCAACAACATGCTTCAATACATAAGTTCTCAGGGCATAATACATCAAACCAGCTGTGTAGGGACTCCCCAACAAAATGGAGTAGCCGAGAGAAAAAAATAGAGATATCTTGGAGAAGACTCGTGCCCTCATGCTTCATATGCATGTTCCAAAGAAATTTTGGTCATTTGCTATCCTCACTGCCACCTACCTCATCAACCGACTCCCAAGTCATGTGTTAGGGTTTAAATCTCCCTATGAAGTACTCAAGGGTAGGAAAATTAATTTGACACACCTCAAGGTATTTGGATGTGTTTGCTTTGTTCACATTCAAGCCTTGAACCGTGACAAATTAGATGCCAGGGCAACCAAGTGTGTGTTTGTGGGGTATTCTTCCACCCAAAAGGGATACAAGTGCTACAATCCAACCACTAAGAAATGTGTTGTGTCAAGGGATGTGAAGTTGAAAAAGATTGTCCTTATTTTACTCACAAGGGAAATATTGCAAGTCAGGGGGATGAACTGTTTGAAATCTTTCCACTTCCTCAGAACATTAATAATCCAGTATTGGAAGAGAGTTCAGTTACTGTGATACCAGATATTGAAGAAATACAAACTGACTCAATCACTGATAGCAGTATCCCGGCCAATGAGAGAGACGAGGAGTCTCATTCTGATAATTCACAATCTCCTACAGAGCCTCAAGGGCTTAGAAGAAATCCTCCTCGAACCAGAAAACCTCCAACTAGGCTGCATGACTATGTTACTTATGCCTCACGGTATCCTATTAGTGAAAACATCAGTCTTGGTAAGTTCTCAACATCTCATGCTACATTTCTCTGTGAAATTGATAAACACAATGAACCTAGAAGCTTTCAAGAGGCTTTTCTCCTCCCACAATGGAAACAAGCCATGGCAGATGAGCTTAGTGCTCTAGAAGAAAATAAAACTTGGAGCTTGGTTCAACTACCACCAGGAAAAAAAGCTGTTGGAAGTCGTTGGATTTACAAAATTAAATTCAAGGCTGATGGTTCTATCGAGAGACACAAGGCTAGGCTTGTTGCTCGAGGTTTCACCCAAACCTTTGGGGTAGATTACAAGGAAACATTTGCTCCTGTGGCCAAGATGAATTCAGTGAGGGTTCTACTCTCAGTTGCAATCAATTGTGGGTGGACTCTTTATCAAATGGATGTGAAGAATGCTTTCCTTTAAGGAGAGTTACAAGAAGAAGTGTATATGCAGCCTCCTCCAGGTTTTGATGGTATTAAAGACAACATGGTTTGTAAGCTACACAAGGCAATCTATGGATTGAAACAATCCCCAAGAGCTTGGTATGCCAAGCTCAGTTCAGTTCTAGAGAAGGCTGGATTCCTACGAAGTAATGCTGATTCCTCATTGTTTGTAAGAACTGGCACCAGTGGGAAATTGGTGGTGCTCATCTATGTAGACGATCTCATCATCACAGGAGATAGTGTTACTGAAATTGAGGCACTAAAAGTCTCACTATGCCAAACATTTGCTATCAAAGATCTGGGGAAACTAAAGTATTTTTTGGGCATAGAAATGGCAACCTCTTCAAAGGGGCTATTTCTACATCAACGGAAATATGTATTGGATCTTCTTCAGGAAGCAAAAAATGCTTGATTGCAAAACCTGCCATCACTCCCGTGGATTCTAAACTAAGGCTCAACACAGATGGAGAAGCCATGCATAATGTGAGTTACTATCAACGATTGGTGGGCAAACTTATATATCTCACCATCACACGTCCGGATATCACATATGCAGTGAGCCTGGTAAGCCAATTTATGCATTCTCCTACAGTTGATCATCTTAACATGGTTAAGAGAGTTCTGCGTTATCTCAAGGGTTCGATAGGGCAGGGAATCATCATGCGTAACAACAATTCCACTGCCATCAGTGGCTACACTGATGCAGATTGGGCAGGGAATGCTCTTGATAGGAAATCTACCACGGATTATTGCACGTTTGTTGGTGGAAATCTTGTCACTTGGAAGAGCAAGAAACAACATGTCATTGCTCGCTCTAGTGCAGAGGCTGAATATCGAGCCATGGCAGCCACTGCATGTGAACTTATATGGCTTAAAGGGCTTCTTTCAGACTTAGGGTTTACTAGCACTACTCCTATGTCTCTTATGTGCGATAATCAAGCAGCCATGCACATCGCTGCTAACCCTGTGTTCCATGAAAGAACGAAACACATTGAAGTGGACTGTCATTTTGTTAGAGCTCAAGTGCAAACTCAAGTCATTCAGACCATCTTCACGCGAAGCCATGATCAACTGGCAGATCTCTTTACCAAGGCTCTCTGACATCTACTCCATTTCATCGTTTTTTGGGCAAGCTTGGCTCGATTAATCTACTCGATCCAGCTTGAGGGGGAGTGTTGTTGAGTGTCATTGTAATACCTTTCCCTTGATTTAAGGGAGTAGACTTGCATAAGTTAAGTTTAGATAGGTTGGCAGATAGGTTGGCAGCTTTATTCCTTATTTTTTTATTTTCTTGTTGGCTGCTTGCAGCAGCTTTATTTTCCACTTTCTTCCTACTACTTTCTCCCCATTTCCTGATTTCTTGTCGGCTGCATATAGCAGCTTTCCCTCCCTCTTCTCATATATATCCGGACTCCCTCTTGTACCAATACACATGAAATACATATGAAAACTTTAAACCAGAAATTCTACAATAACTATATGAATAACGAATTTCAAAACACAATATACTAGAAAATCAATCACATACAATTGTTCTTTAAACTCTCTTTAAAAGCAAAAATAGAAAACTAACCTCTTGTGTAAAAACGATGAGAAGGAACGGAGAAAAAAAAAACCACCTGTTCAAGAGTTAAAAACATGAAATATCAAAATGTAAGAACAACAAAAATCAAAGTTCAGAATTGTATACAAATTCTTTGTTCTTCGCCCCCTCTACAACACCACCAATAACATCACTTACCAAGTGAAGGTGGAGATATTCAGTGGCGAAGCCAGGATTTACCGAGGGGAGGGGCGAAATTCAAAAGAGTGTAAGGATCAATTAAAGCAGTTGCTTTTACATTGGAGAGTGCAAAGTTTTGAGTCAATATTCATAGTTGAAAATAGTCTCTCTACCAAAACGGTTGTAAGCAATAATATCAAAGTCAATGTAAGCAGAAAGTACAACAAAATGATAATGTTGAAGTTGAACTATCCAAATGTTGAAGTTGAACTATCGAAATCACAATTAAAACTATCCAAAATTGAAGCTAAACTATTCGAAATAACATTGTCCAAACTAATTGATAATGTTTTTGAATGTTATATCGTTCCATACTTATCAATTATCAATTATTAACACATGATCAAATCAAATATCAAAATATCATAAATTTCAATCTAATAATCATAGCAATAACTATAATTTGTTAGAAATTCAAAATTTTCATCCAATACACATTAATTTCAATAGCATCCTATATTATTAATTTGGGCTAAGATTAAAAATCTTAGTAAAATTTAAAATGAGGACATTAGCAAAAATAAAAAACAGAAATTAAGAAATTAGGTGATGGTGGTGGAGGGTTGGTCGGTTGGGATGAAATTGGTATAGGATGAAATAGAGATTTGGCTTTGGGCTTTGGGTATTAGGGTCTTAAAGAAAATAAGGTTTAGATTATCTAAAAGGGAGAGTCACGTGGATTGTTTAAGATGGTCACGTGTATCTTTTAAATTGTATTGACTCAAAACGAGTCGTTTTGGCCATTTTAAAAAGCAATCTTCTTCTTCGTTCTCCATCTGCAAGCTGTACTGATTGCAGGTTGCAGCCGTCGCCGATACCTCTTATCCACCACATGCCAGACCGTCGAGTGGTCCTCCATGGTCCTCAGAGCCAATTTTCTAGACTTTCGGAGGGTCCCAGGACCACCCAGGTCTTTGAATGGACCGCCTCTTGCTGCTGCTCTTCATCCGCCCCTGGCCATGAATTCCGACGAGAGCGGAGGGGCTGAACCAACGGTCCTAGACGTGTTTTCCGGCGAGGGGAGTGGCGGTTGCCACTCCTCGCCCTCACATAGCTTCGCCACTGGGATATTTGCAAGTTTTAGATACATATTAAGATGCAAGAAATGAACTAATAATTTGGTTAATAAATCTAACTTTTTGATACAAATGTCAGGGATCTCTACCATCTCCCTTTACATTTGGTTAATAAATCTAACCTTTTGATATGATATGTTTACCAAAAAATTAGCGTAGGCATCTGTAATCATTGCTTCATCATTTTCACACTGATTTGGGAATACATCTGTGATTCCAGGACCTTAGATCATTTTCACACTGATTTGGGAATACATCTGTGATTCTAGGACCTTAGATTCAACTCTACACCTATGTTCTTTATATATTAGAAGAAAGAGGTTACCCATTCTTTTGTATGTGTATAATGTTGGACAGCACAATCCTTCCAAAGCCAAATGATTTCACGTCAATGCAAAATCATCACACCTGTAAACAAAAATTAATCAAATTCAATATCATGGATTAATGAGATTTATTGAACAGGAAGAATTGAAACTCCAATTTCAATACAACAACAACAACAACAAAGCCTTTTCCCATTAAGTGGGGTCGGCTATATGAATCTTAGAACGCCATTGCGCTCGGTTCTGTGTCATGTCCTCCATTAGATCCAAGTACTCTAAGTCTTTTCTTACGGTCTCTTCCAAAGTTTTCCTAGGTCTTCCTCTACCCCTTTGGCCCTGAACCTCTGTCCCGTAGTCGCATCTTCGAACCGGAGCGTCAGTAGGCCTTCTCTGCACATGTTCAAACCATCGTAACCGGTTTTCTCTCACCTTTCCTTCAATTTCAGCTACTCCTACTTTACCTCGGATATCCTCATTCCTAATCTTATCCATTTTTGTGTGCCCACACATCCAACAAAGCATCCTCATCTCCGCCACACCCATTTTATGTACGTGTTAATGCTTCACCGCCCAACATTCTGTGTCATACAGCATCGTCGGCCTTATTGCCGTCCTATAAAATTTTCCCTTGAATTTCAGTGGCATACGGTTGTCACACAACACGCCGGATGCACTCTTCCAATTCATCCATCCAGCTTGTATTCTATGGTTGAGGTCTCCATCTAATTCTCCGTTCTTTTGCAAGATAGATCGTAGGTAGCGAAAACGGTCGCTCTTTGGTATTTCCTGATCTTCGATCCTCACCTCTAACTCATTTTGGCCTCCATTTGCACTGAACTTGCACTCCATATATTTTGTTTTTGATCGGCTTAGGCGAGAAACTCCAATTTCAATAACCCCAAAATTTTAAATTGCTCACATTGAATATAAAGAGCTTCGGAAAATGGTAACTTTTGAGGCTTGAAACAAAATCCACGAAACCAGAAAAGAAAATGAAGCAAATTATATACCTTAAAATGTCAAGCAAGCAAATTCTTCCTCCAACGACTCAAAGCAGAAAAATTAGCAATTTGTAAATTTATCTTGTCATGCCATACGGTTTTCAAGAATCGAGTATCATATATATTTGGACATACTGGTTCTTTGCGTGAATAAACTGGAGGTGTAAGCCTGCTTTCTTCTGTGGCATGCTTCTCTAACTGGAATAGCAGACAAACTGATGATGATGGAGCATCTAAATAGAAGATTCCGCAAGGTTCAAAAGAAATCTTCAGCAAAAAAGATGAGAGAGGCAACAGTAAATTGGTTAGTCATAAGTATACCTAAAAAATTAACTCTGAAAAGTAATAAGAAATGAAAAAGCATTAAAATTGACAGGGAAGAAAAGTTAAATTGATCTTTTAGCTTACATCCAGAACATTTGCTTGAGTGTTCTCATTATTTAATTTAATCCTTTTAAAGAAAATATTTACAACGATGAAATGAAGTATCACGTAAAAGGTCATTCTAGAAACTCAGGTAACTTTGATGAATTCAGCTACTAACCATTCCTATATCTTTCAGAAGCGGGATGGGAAGTATTGTGTGTTGTCACAGCCATCTGCACACACCACCATTAATTGAATTCCAAAACATTACAACTTACTAACATGCTTTCCATGTGCAATTGCATTATTATGAATCACGTCAGTCACATCCACATAATACCTGAAGATTATACAAAGGAGTTCTGTAAAACCTGAACATTCCAAATCACCAGTCCCCTCATCTTCGTCATACGGCTCAACTCGTAGTTCCGTAATACCTGAACATTATACAAAGAAGTAAAATTCAAGACTCAAAAACCGGAAATGAAAACTGGTAACATTGAGTTTTAATAGCTGAAATTGGACCTTGTTTAAGCAGCTCCACAACAGCGTTAATACTTGGACTGAGGAATATCTACTACATTATGAGTTCCCTCCTGATAAAGCCCAACCAAGAGGTTTTCCGGTGAGCCACAAACGGCTAACTTAGCGGGACACTACCATCCCCACTAACACCAAACCCAAATAATATCAGGAACAAAACCCTAATTAATACCAGTAACAAAACTCCAATGGCAAGGATATTACCTAAAAATAAATGATGATCGAAAGAGAGCAGGCAAATCTGACGTGGACTTCAATGTATACAAATCCATGGTTGAACTCATTTCCTGACACACCGAGTGAAGGAAATGAATCATCAAATTAAGATCCACATAATTAGTTGCATTTGTCACTCTTAGATATCTACAAATTAAGATTCACATAATTGGTTGCATTTGACACCAAAATACCAATCATTCCAAAACACCATTGAAGCACTGAAAAATCACAAATTTCACCAAATTCAAAACATCCAAAACCCAGCAATAAAATTTGGAAAAAGTCCAATAAAAAGGATGAGATTGCTTGAAACTAGGGATGGGCAATGGTTATGGCAGGCGGGTAACCGCGGTTATTTACCCATAACCGTTTATATTCATACCTGCATAACCGTTTACCTGTTGGGTAATTGCATAAACGGTTATACCCATACCCATAACCGTTTATAAACGGTTAACCGTACCCATAACCGTTTATAAACGGTTAACCGTACCCATAACCGTGTACCCATTTAACCATAATCGTTTATCCATTTAACCATAACCATTACCTGTTTATCATTTTTTTACCCATTTACCTCTTTTTTCACCAGTCTACATGTTTTTTTTGAACAACTTAAAAATTAGAAAAGATAAATTTGTCATAATTTTCATTTTTTGACAATTAAACACCGTTATAGGTACATTTTAGCATGCATTTTCCTATTTTAATCATTTAAGTCCTCATACAATTTCAATAATTGAAATAATAGTTTACGAACGATATTCTTCTGCTATATCCAAGCAAGTCTTTAATTATAAACGGGTTTATCAAAATATGGATATCGTCGGAGAAAGGTCACTGCAGTCGTCTGCATTGCAAGAGCAAAGAGAAGAGCAAATGGCCTTTTCTTAGGATCTTTGCAAACTTGGTTGAAATCTCTATATATTTTAATGAACGACTGAACCAACACTACCATTATTTCGACCAAAAAAAAATTAACGTTAGCATTACCCCCTCACACCTTGTAGCTAATAAGGGTAAAACTGTAAACAGTTAAGGTTGTTATGGTAGTTTTGTAATTAGTGAGTGATTAGTTGATGAAGGTGTAATTAGTTAGTTATCTAATACTAGTGAGTAACTAGTATATAAGGCATCATTGTGTAACCTTATTGAGATAATGAAATGAAAGGATAATTTTCCTAATATGGTATCACTCGCCTAAGTCCTACGACAGCCGATCCTCTCCCTCTGCTTCCCGCTTCTTCCTCTTTGAATCTTCAAACCCTAGAAATCTCCCGCTTTCTCCTCTTCGATTCTTCCAAACCTAGCAATCACCATGGCTGGATCTCCTTCTTCTGGCTCTACTTCTTGCCCTAATTCTTCTCTCTCCTCGACGACATCGTCGATTACGATCCAAAATATTGGATCTATGGTGCCGATCAAGCTCACATCGACGAACTATCTCACCTGGAGTGCTCTGTTCACTCCCATCCTTCGCCGGTACAATCTCATCGGAATCATTGACGGCATAATGTCTGCTCCGCCGAAATACCTTCTTGACTCCTCGGGTAATCAAATCTCTACTCTCAATCCTCAATATGTTACTTGGTTTGAGAATGATCAGAATATCTTGATTTGGATCAATTCTACCCTATCGGGTGCCCTAATTCCGTATACTGTTGGAGTTAATTCGGCTGTGAGCTCTGGTCCAAATTGGAATCGCGACTTGCAACTGCATCGCAATCGCACATTCATGAGCTTCGTTCTCGTCTTCATAGCATCACGAAGGGTGATTCTATGGCTGCGCTCTACCTTCAACAAATTGAAGAAATCGCAGATGCTCTTGCAAATGCAACCTCTCCAATCGAAGATTCTGAGTTGATTTATGTAATTTTACATGGTTTTCCCTCTGAGTATGAGTCTTTCATTGATGCAATCCAATTTCGCCTGGGTTCAACCACTATTGATGAACTTCATGGGCTGCTTTTGAGTAAGGAGCTTCAACTGACTGCTCGCAAGAAAACCTCACCATCTGCTCCTGTTCAAGCTTTTAATGCTTCTGCTGGTCTTCTTCCCACACCTCTTGGTGATTTTGGTGCTCAAGCATTCTTTACTCAGAACGGATATTCTTCACAATCCTATGGTCATCCGAATCGTGGCAATTTCTCTCAATCTCGTAATTACACAAATCGTGGTTCACAGCGGAATCATCAAGGTTTTCAGGGCAATCAAAGATTCAATCGCGGTTCTCAGGGCAATCATCGTTACAATCGTGGTCCTCGTTCTCAGTAAATCACAAAAATTTTCTCACCTCCAGAAAATTTCCCATTTGTCATCAAAATTGTCGCCATATTGGATCATGAAGCTGTTGAGTGTCGGTCAGTCCAATTTTACAAAAATTACCCAGTTCCTTATTGCCTTATCCTACTTGGCTTCTCATTCTGTGCGCAAGATTTCCGCAATTTTGCTTTCCATTCCACATATTGCAGATCAGCCTACACTTCCTGGCTTTCTTGAGCAAGTGTATTCTGGTGACGGATGCTGGCATCATATCAAATCTCCATTCTACATTTTTGAATGGCAACCTAAACTGATCTTAAAGTGTTTCATCTTAAGGTCCGGCAAATCAGATTTTGGCATACATTTTGTTCTTAACAACTTAGTAATTGGTTCTCATTGTTACCTTGATCTAAAATGTATCCTCATGTTATCCTCAATCTTATGCAAGATTTTGATTTGCAAATGGTTTTTTTCCTTGAGAGCTGGTTCTATCATTTATCTTTTCACTCATTGTTGGTATGATCAGATCTTTCATTTGCAGCAAAAACTAAAAACTTGCAAAAGTCTTGTCACAGATTTGAACATTTGCAATCTCAAAGTGTTGCAATCTGTATTTCAGTTTTGCTTAAATAGTGTACTCCGAGTTGCTCCTAGGCTAAGAGTTCCAAGTTGTAATTGTTCTTGTGTACAAGTGTTTGCCATCCATCATCTATCTGAATTATGACTTTGCACTACACCTGTATATGGTTTTTTCCTCTCAATTTTTAAATCTGATGTTTTGACATTTGTGCAATTCAAAGTGTTGGTGGAAACTTTAGTACTAAGATTGTTATCTTGCGATCTGATTCTGGTGGGGAATTTCTTAGTCTCAAGTTTATCAAGTTTCTTCAAGAACATGGCATTTCCCATCAGTTAAGCTGCCCCCACACACTTGAGCAAAATGGTTGTGCTGAGCGCAAGCATAGGCATTTGGTTGAAACTGCTCGAACTCTCCTAGCAGCATCCAAGGTTCCTCATTCTTATTGGGTTGAAGCTTTTGCCACAGCTATCTATCTCATCAATCGGATGCCAACAACCACCAACTTCTCACCTTGGGAACTACTATTTCACAGATCTCCAGATTACATCTCACTGAAAATTTTTGGATGTCGATGTTTCCCATGGTTGAAACCTTATACAACTTCCAAGCTTGATCCCAAAAGCAAGGAATGTGTTTTTTTGGGGTACAGTTTGAACCACAAAGGCTATAAATGCCTTGATCCTTCCACTTGCAGAGTGTATCTTTCAAGGCATGTTATTTTTTATGAAGATACATTTCCTTTTGCTCAAAAGGATCATCCTCAGTCATCACATTCCAGCTCTAGTTCTTCTCATTTAAAACCCTCCAATCCTATTCCAACCACATTGACTTTTCCTTCTCTATCTCAACCTTCTCCCTCTCCGTCTCCTCTCTTATCTCCAAATCCATCTTCACCCTCTCCATCCCAATCTCTTCCTGTCCCATCTTCTACTGCCTTACCTAACCCTACTCTTCCCTCTCTCCTTCATCCACTTTCTGCACCCTCAATACCTCTCTATACTCATACCATGCAAGCCAGATCCAAATCGGGTATTTTTACATCTCTTCTGATCTCTCTCCCGATTATACACCATCTACCTATCTTCAAGCCTCCAAACATCCTCATTGGCGTCGAGCAATGCAAGAAGAGTTCAATGCTCTCATTCAAACTAGCACTTGGTCTCTAGTTCCTGCTAATCCCACTCAGAACTTGGTTGGTGCGAAATGGGTGTTTAGAATCAAGAGAAAACCAGATGGTACCATTGATAGGTACAAAGCTCGGCTTGTTGCCAAAGGCTTCCATCAGCAGCAAAGCATTGATTATACTGAGACATTTAGTCCAGTTGCCAAGCCTGTTACTATTCGGTTACTTCTCACTTTGGCTGCCAAGTTTGATTGGTTTCTCAATCAACTTGATGTCAGCAATGCTTTTTTGCATGGTACCTTGACAAAATCTGTGTTCATGATCCAACCACCAGGATTTGAAGACCCTACCAAGCTAAATCATGTTTGTCATCTCCATAAATCTTTGTATGGGCTCAAGCAAGCCCCCAGGGCCTGGTATGACAAGCTCACCACTACATTGAAGTCCCTGGGTTTCTCAAGTTCCTCAAATGATCATTCTCTATTTGTCAAGAAGGCTCATGCGTTGATTTTCATTTTGGTCTATGTTGATGATATTATTGTTACTGGACCGAATGCTCAACTCTGCCAAGATATTATTTCTCAGCTCAGTTCTTTATTTCCTGTCAAAGATCTTGGTCCTCTTCATTACTTCCTTGGTATTGAAGTCCAGCGGTCATAATCTGGTATCCTTCTCTCTCAACACAAGTATATTCTCGATCTTCTCTCCAAAGCACACATGGAAGGTTCCAAACCTTGTGTCACTCTTCTTAGTACAACTAAATTGGATCATGACTCTTCTCTGCTTGATAAACCTGAGGAATATAGATCTTTGGTTGGTGATTTACAATACTTAACATGGACACGGCCAGATCTGTCTTATGCAGTTAATTTGGTTTGTCAATTTATGCACTGTTCGAGATAAGCTCACTTTCAGGCAGTCAAACGCATTCTCCGATATCTAAAGGGTACTCTGTCTCTTGGCTTATGGTTTCCAAAATGTCCTAAACCTCTTACTCTCACTACTTTCTCTGATGCCGATTGGGCCGGTTGCAGTCTTGATCGCCGATCTACTGGGGGGTTTTGTGTCTATTTAGGTGACTCACTTATAAGCTGGAGTGCCAAGAAACAGCCTACTGTGGCTCGGTCATCGACCGAAGCTGAATATCGATCCTTGGCTAACACTGCAGCTGAACTGACATGGATATGCAAGCTATTAATTGATGTTGGTCTTGATCTTCCTTCTTCCCCTCAGATTTGGTGTGACAACATTTCTGCCATTTCATTGGCTAGAAATCCAATCTTCCATGCTCGAACCAAGCATGTGGAGATTGTTTATCACTACATTCGGGAAAAAATGCTTGCTAATCAAGTTCAAGTTTTGTTTGTGTGTACTCAAGATCAGGTTGCTGATATCTGCACCAAGGCTCTGTCCAAGCACAGATTCCATCTTCTCAGGGACAAACTCTCCCTTCGGCTACCTCAGTTAGGTTTGAGGGGGGATAATAAGGGTAAAACTGTAAACAGTTAAGGTTGTTATGGTAGTTTTGTAATTAGTGAGTGATTAGTTGATGAAGGTGTAATTAGTGAGTGATTAGTTGATGAAGGTGTAATTAGTATATAAGGCATCATTGTGTAAACTTATTGAGATAATGAAATGAAAGGATAATTTTCCTAATAGTAGCATCTCCAAACGAGACGTCAAAATCAAAACATTAAATTTCATTTAAATGGGTAAATGGATATCTGTTATAACCGTGGGTAATACTCATAACCAATGGATACCCGTTATAACCGTGGGTAATTCCCATAACCACCCATTTAAATTTCACGGATAAACAGTTATACCCATAACCGTTTATTCATCTAACAGTTACCCATAACCGTAACCGTGAACTTTAAATGGACGGATAACCGCAGTTACCCAAACCCATGGGTATTTTCCGTACTTGAAACAAAACCCTCAAAATCAGAAAAATGAAATTTTAACAGAAAACCCATTTCTAATCCCAAACTTACACTTATAACACATAATTTTCAAACCACAAAATTACCCACTATAAAAAAGCGAACCTGTTTGTAATGGTAGAGAAGGGTTGAGTAATGTTTCCTCAGCTCAAACGAAGCGCTTGTTGTTGGGGAGAACATGAAAACACCTCCCACTTCCCTCCATTTCTTCTCAGCAACAACCTATATATATAATTAACTACATATGAAACCAAAGGTTACAAAGACACAGAGCAGGAGAGAACTACGTACCCAAAACAACAGTTTGTTCATAACTTGAAACCAAAGCAGATCCCACACACACTTTAAAGAAAAATCTTAATCCCAAAGCTAAAATTACTCAACCATAAAGCTTTCACATTCCCCACCAACCCAGGAAACATAAATTATTATTTTTTTTTTAAAGTATAAAGAAAAAAAAAGAGGCAAAATTCAAAACCCATTTCATTCAATTTTGTCCCACATTTTGATTTCGATGAGATTCGAATCAAAACCCAAATGGGTTTGCCGGGTCTGAATCAAAATCCTTGATTGATGACAAAAAAAAAAACAAAAAAAAGGGGAGATTTTTATGGAGAGAGGCCAATATGCTGCGCCGGGCAGCTTAGAGATTTGTATCATGTATTTCATGAATAGAAGTCAACAAAACTGCAATTGAAGGGAGCATGACTGAGACCTGAATTGGTTCCTCCGCTTAGGCCAAATTTTTTTCAAGATTAACGGACAAAACCACAAATTCTAGCAAGCCAAATAACAAAGAGACAGAATCAGGAAGCAGAAGAGGCAGGAATCTTACAACAATTAATTGAAAAAATTTCTTCCTGACCAAACAGAAAATAGAGAAACAAATGAACCAACGCACCTAAAACATTGCATTCGTTTCTAGAAAGCAACGGGAAGCACAGTCAAACCACCTTCACAAACGATCGGATCAGAATCAAAATGAAAGAGATAGAGAGATAAAAAAAAAGAGGCAAACACAGACGGAGAGAGAGGAGAAAAGAAGAGGAGAGGAAAATAACCCTATCGACCCCATCAATACCCACATCCCAAATTTCACAATTTTTATCAAAATTTGATGGACTTCGAAAACCCATCAAAATCAGGGAAGAAGATGAGTTTTACGCGAGGACTCGAGCTGAGTTTTGAAAGAGAAGTCGAGGACGCGACCTGAGTTTTGAAAGAGAAGTCGAGCTGGGTTCGTTATTTCTGCGAAAGAGAGCTTTTGGTTACTGCGAAAGAAAGATTTGACGGAAGTGAATTGGTGAGAGCAGAGCGAGAAAGCAGCTAGTCGAAACATCGAGAAGGAAGAACCACGAGTCACCATTTTGTTCTCACAGCATACAAACCGGTGAAGTTGAAATAACAAAAAAAAAAAAAACAAGAGGGGCAAAAACGGAATCACACTGCTCAATGAACAGTGTTTCAGTTCATTTTCTCCTTTAGTGTATAAATAAATATAATATAATTTCTCCAAGTGAAATTTCTCTTTACTTTTATATATGAGATTGCAAATTAAAGAAAATAGTTAGCTAAATGACATAGCAAGAGGCATGTGAAGCATTTATTATCCGCCCCAAATTCTGTGTTGGATTACCCTACATCAAGATCACTCATATAAAAATAAAAATATCAAGTTGAGGACATCACCCATGCATCCATCCCAAATACGAGAAATGAAAAACTTGGCACTTGAAGGGAACCTCACAATTTCAAAATTTACGTGATGAAAGAAACAAATACATAATTTATATGATCAATGAAAAAATAATTTTAATCTCATTAAAGATGCTTTAAATTTCATATCTTTTATCAATTATGTTTTCAGGCACCCTAAATAGTATTTACAATTAGAAGAACTTTGAAAACTTTAGCATTTATCTGATATGAGGTCTCAAATGTAAAATTGACAACCCAAAATAACACTTCACCCCACTGTCGGGGATGCTTTGGCTTGCTTTGCTCTAATTTTGAAAAAAAAAAAAAAATCAAAATATTAGTCATTACAAAGCCGTCTTAGCGTAGGCGGTAGAGCGCACGACTTTTAACCGTGTGGTCATAGATGGCGACCTCATTTAAGGTTTAGCTCAAAATATATATATGTGTATATATATATATATATATATATATATATATATTTGCATGTAGTTCAATATCATAGGCATACCAGATTGGAAACTCCCTCCTTTCCCTCATTAATGGTATATTTTTATTTATTTATTTTTAAATATCATTTCATTATAGAAGTCAATAATATAGATTTTGTCCAAAAATAAAAGTAAAATTATAGGAGTCGATATGGATTTGGGTTGTGGGCCATATCCACACAACCAATTGCCAGGTCGAATTGTTTTTTCTTTATGGAAACTGGAAATATATATTACTAGGGCAAAGATGCTAGATAGCTACAAAGAAAGTGTACCCCGAGGCCAACAAACACAAACCAATACAAACAAAGCAGCGAAGGGGATAGGAGAAAGACACTAGAACCTAGTTCAAGTGTCACCCCCTCAACTGCCATCAAAGATCAAGGGGCACAAGGTAAACCATCTTTATTGAGTACATGAACCAATGAAGATGGAGGTTTGCAGACCCAAGTGCAATTGCACATCTCCGTGTTACGTCACGACGCCAAGAAATCTGCCGCCATATTAGCTTATCTTGGAACCTAAAACCAGCGACAGTCCTGGGAAGACTTCCTGTACTGTTTAATAAGCGTTAAGGTATGAAAGGCCTCCCAACTGCCAACATCCAACAAATTTGATAAAGATGAAATCATATCCCTTGAGTCAAATTCAAGGATTACCTGACGATGTCCCAAAGCAGCAACAAGTTCACACATGTGCAGCATAGCCAAAGCTTCAGCTGTAGCGGCATTAGGAGCTTGGACCGCATACCATGTCGCATCGACAAACAAACCTCTCGGTCCCCGAATTACAATTCACACAAAACCATTCCGCGACGATGAAGACCAGCTAGCATCTACATTCACCTTGAGGAAAGGAAATGTAAGGGGTGACCAAAGAACCACCGAAGCCTCCACCAATGAGAGAGAGCCAGGAGGAAAACAAAAGTTTTTATACCATATTTAGGGCCTCGTATTTAGACCTCGTATAAATACTCGGGGGACTTAAATGTAATTATGTAATAAAGGAAGGGGCAAATATGTAATTAGGGGAGAAGCCCTTATTCTATAAAAGGGCCTCATCACCCTCACAAACCCTAAGCCTCTGCTATCTAGGGCAAAGCTCTCACTCGCTCTCCCTCACTTCTCAGAGAAATATAATACAATCAGTGTGGACGTAGCCCAAACCTTGGGGTGAACCACGATAACTCTTGTGTCATTTACTTTCTTGCAGATTCACGGTCGGATTTACGTTATTCCAAGACCTCCGGTTTTGTGCATCAACATTTGGCGCCGTCTGTGGGAATCGATACGAAAACTATGTCGGTTTCTCTCTCAATTTTTCATACCACCACCGTGGATCTGCAAAATCATAAAAATCCAAAAAACCAAATCTCTCTCTTCTCCTCTCTTGGTCAGTCCTACACAGAAACCAAAACAAAAAAAGAAATCAAAAGAAATGAAAAAAGAAATCCAAATGTAAATCTCTCTCTTTCTCCTCCAAGACAAAGAGTTGTCGAAGAACCAGACGCATAAGAAGGGAAATGAGGTGTATCCCGACGACAGCACTCCACTTGTGGGTGTTGCCTTTGCCGTCACCATCTCTGAGGAGGAGCGACACAAGCACCAGCTTCAGTCCATCAGTGCATCTTTGGCATCCCTGATCTCATCGATGTCAAGCTTCTCCAAGTTTCAGGCTCTGGAGATCCATCACAGGAATCGGATCCTCCGAATCATGAACCGGGTTGACTTGGTCATCCAAATCAACGGCCTGGGTTGAATATGGAAGTGAACGAAACCCTGTCGTCGAGCTTCGAATTGGAAGCCCGTGGCTCGCTTCGCCTTGACTCTCCGGCTCCTAAACTCGAACCCTTTGTCGCTGTTTTGGTCGAAGCCTCGAAAACTTGGAATGTACCACTGATGGAGATTTTGTCACCAGCTCCAGCTTCGCTCTTGCTTCCACTCACGACGGTGGATCTGGGTCCATCTCCTTACATGTAGACGGTCAGCATCGCCCACCAGATCGTGGCGCCATCAGATCTGGGCCTCCTCCTCTTCCTGCTTACTATTATAAGGATCTTCAAGTAGTTTGAATTGTTCCAACAATACCAACAACGACTGACTGCGCTTGTTGGAGCAAAACAGATAACACGGCTAGTGAACAGTGCATTTGTGCTCATAACTCTCGGAGGCAATGACTGGGTCAACAACTATTTCGTCCAACCTGTCTCCAAGACCATGCCAGTATTTCGTCCCTGCTTTCTCCACTTACCTCACCTCACTCGGAGGCAAAATGAAAGAGAACCAAGCAATGTTACAGAAAATTGAAGTTCTCTTTCTAAATATCAACAGCAAACCAAGCAAACTGCCTTGAAGCGTGAAGGGAGTACCAGCCTTGCTTATTCCTTCTCTAGCCAGAAATTGAGTAGTGGTAGCAGCGACGAAGATGCTGGTGAGATCAATCCAGGCAGAAATTTAATTTGCTTGATGGTTGGACAAGAAGAAGGCAACATGAGATCAATCCAGGCAGAGCTTCGTTTGATCAGATAGATCCTATCAAAACAGTTGAAATCAACACTTCTCGACCTTACTCTTATTCGAGTACCCCGAATTCCAATTCTAGAATCAAAAGATCAGATCAATATAATTATCAGAGCCACCATCTGCAGTATAATTATCAACAGCAAAGAGCTCATCCTCAGTCATATCCAGTTGCCTCTCCTCAATCACCTGTCACGCCAACATCATCCACTGCTTTTGTCGGCAAAAGCAGAAAGGGAAACAAAGAACGTGAGTGCTATTTGCACTCTGCAAAGTAAAAACAAAAGCTAAAAGAGAAAGTTTGTACTTTTGCTTTTGTTGACGGATGCATGTTCCTATTTTTTAAAAGCCAGAGAAAAGAAAATGGGCAATGTCGGAAAGGTTGTCCAAAGTAGCTGTCATTTTAGAGAAAAGAGGAAGCAAACGAGAAAGCAAAAGCAAGGAATAAACACTCCACCATAATGATGTAATTTATTTTATCTTTCAGAGACATATGTATAAACTCCATCAGAGGGTAATATGTATAAACCCCGTCAGAGGGTAAAAAAAAAAAAAAAAAAAAAAAAAACAGCAAAGCCCAAAATAAATGGGCTGGAATGTTGTGTAGAGGGCGAAGGTCCATAAGCCCAAAATAGCTCTAACCAGGCGATCAAAAGTACGCCCAGTACTCCATAATTATTCGGCAACCTACCGCTATTACCACCAACCAGGTGATCAAAAGTACGCCTAGTACTTCCAAAATTATTCGGCAACCCGCCGCTATTATCACCAACTAGGTGACCAAAAGTACGCCCAGTACTCCAAAAATTATTCGGCAACCTGCCGCTATTACCACCAACCAGGTGATGAAATGTACAACCCATACTCTCCTTCATGCCACCAACCAGGTGATCAAAAGTACGCCCAGTACTTCAAATCATACATGAGCATTACTCATGTCAATCATACATAAACATTCATGAGCATTACTCATCCAATCATACATAAACATTCATGAGCATCACTCATGTCAACATCCATGAGCATCACTCATGTCAATCAACATAAACATTCATGAGCATCACTCATGTCAATCAGCTTCAAAAGCTTCATTTACAAAAGCTCCAGCTTCGAAAGCTTCATTTACAGAACTCTAGCTTCAAAGCTTCACTTGCAAAGCTTCACCTACAAAGCTTCAGTGCAGGGTATACAAATACCGTCTCCGAACAACCGCCACTTCGGCCCATACATGGATTCAATTTGAAGTCTCCAGCCAAAATACTCTATTGACCGAAGACTTGGGGGACTACATTATGTAC